GGGATGACCACGGGTCAGTGCCACAGTCCTGGGGCAGCTCCATGTGCTACAGATGGCCCCCTCTGAGGCCTTGATGAGGGTCCCCAAAGCCTGGCTCTCCTCTAGCATACTTCCTCAGCTTAGGTTTTTCATTTGTTTCAAGTCCTGTTTATGGCCGATGTCCCCACTGTTTTCCATAGATCCCAAGCTCGAGCTCCGCAGCTCTGCTGTGTCACCGCGGAGTGTCTCTTTTTAGTTTGTCCTTCCCGGCTGTCGAGGGCTTTTCCGTCCCTTCCCCTACAGGAAACAGCTGAGAAATCACCAGGATTGTCACACCCTTAAATAACACCAGCTGCCACTCATCTGTGTCGTATTTTATGAATTTGCCAAGTGCTCCCCTGCCTCCTGTGTGGAGTGGGCAGGTATTATTATTGTCACTCTACATAGATGCTCGAAGAGATTAAGTCTCACGTAGGACTTCGCAGCTGACAGCAGAAACAGAGGCCACATCCTCTCACTTTCAGTCTTGTGCACCTTCTACCTCATCACGGAGCCAGCCACAGACACCAGGGACAGATGGGTCTTGAGCTTTACTTCTGTAAAATGGGGTCATCGTACTGCCTATTTCGTGTGCTTAGGACAGTGCCTGCTGACAGTGCTTATCAGCTCTTAGGAGGGGTAGTAGGATCCCCATTGTGTGCTTTGGGGGACAGGCAGATCGCGTGGCTTGGGCACACCACCCAGAAATGCAGATAAAACCCTTGCCCGGAGAACCGTCGTGCAAGGTGGGAAGATTGGGCCCGCGTGTGTGGCTGTCCTGCACCTGTGTCTCTTGGTCCAGCCTCCTGAGGTCGCTCCCTTTCCTCTGCCAGGGCAGGTCAGCCAGCAGCCCAAGGGCTGTCACGAGGCAGCTTATAGAGCTGAACTAACAATTCTTTGTGGGAACATGGTGCCCTTGAGCCAGGGATCTTGGTGTGCTCTGTGCGCCTTTTAACCTCAGCAGGGCTGCCAGCCCATTTTACAGACCGAGGCTGTGGCCACCGGGCATTCTGGCCCCCAGCCTTGCCCGGTGCGCTGCCCTCACACACACACACACACAGGTTCAACCCACCGACAGGCAAGTGTGTGGTGTGTAAAGGAAGGGGAGTTCACTCATTTATTGAGCCAGTATGCACTGCACTATCCCAAGCCCCATTCTAGCTGCGGGGGGTGAAGCTGTGGGCAGGACTGACCCCCCTCCTGGAGCTGACCACAGAGGAGGGCATGCTATGGAGGGGAATAATGCAAGGCCAAGGGCCAGGCGTCTGGGAGAGGAGTGGTGACCGGAGGGTGGTAAGGGCAGATCCCGGAGGAAGTGGGAAGTATCTGGGAGGGCCCGGGAGCATTGTCTGCCTGGGGAGCTCAAGGCCGCTGGGGCTGGAGGGCAATGAGCAAGGGGGAGAAGGTGGCCAACTGGCAGCGAGGTCCTAGGGGCCAGATCGTGGGTGGACTTGGAGGAACTTGGACTCAATAGTAATGTAGGAAGCCTCTGGAGGCTTTGGAGGATGTGATCTGAAACCGGGGGGCTCGGATTATTACCTGGGGTGGGAGCTCTCCCTTCCAACCTGGCCCAAGGCTGTGATTTGAGAACCTCCTGCATTTCCTGCATTTCTGGCTTATCCCAGAGCCTCCTGCCTGGAACCCTTGAGGAAGCCTGTCCCCATTCTGGACACTGCAGTGGTCTCCCAGGGGCTGATGTAACCCTCCCCACAATGCTGAGCCCCAGCCACCGCGGCTGCGTGCTTTTGCAGAATTTCCTCTCCCGACTGTGAGCTCCGGGGACCCCAGTCCATCTTTGTAACCCTCTCACTGAGCGGCACGTAGTAGGTCTCCCCAAAGTTGAGAGGAGGAGAGGAGGTAAAACCCCAAACTAGGTCTTGTGACTGGGCACCCCCTCAGGGGAGGCACTTAGAAGAGAAAGAGTTATTTTTCCGGGCCTGGAAGGGTTTGTGTGTGGGGATTGCCCTCTCGAGGATCAGGAGGGGAGAGGCTGGTTCAGCCGTGACGCAGCAGGGACATTAGGGATGGCCTTCCCAAACTGTGGGCCGTCACCCCATTCCACTGCTCCATTTTGACGGTGATAGTTGGGATGTCAGCTGCCGCCTCGGGGCCAGCCTCTTCCTCTCCCACGCCCCTTTGAGAGGTGTTTCCCTTTGTGTCATCCAGAAGGAAATGACAGCTTTGGGAAAGCTGCAGAAATCTCCTCGAGGATCGCCATGGCTGGATGAAAAGACAGGGACTTTTGGGAAGGGATAAAGAACACTGGATCCCAAAAGGACAGGGCTTCCTGGCACTCCTCTTTGGCGAGCAATACCTCACCACCAGGAACCCACGTAGGTCAGGGCCTGGCTGAGAGACTGCGGATTTGGATTTGGATTCAATCATTAAATTTTTTTAAAAGTCTAAGAAACAGAGTTAATAGTCTCATTTATTCAACAGACGTACTCAATAAGTAATATTGAGCAGCATCTATGTACCAGAGTTTTGTTTCGTGTTGTTTTTTTCTAGGAGCAAGGAATACAGCCAGTGAACAAAAGAGACAAAAATTCTTGCCTTCATTGTCTAGTCTTATAATAGGGGGTCATCTTTAAAGAAAGACCCGTGGAATCTTCCAATAGTAACACCTGGAGTTCATGTAGGCATTGGTTTGAGAATCATTAGCTTTGGGGGTGCCTGAGTGGCTTAGTCAGTTAAGTGTCCAACTTCAGTTCAGGTCATGATCTCGCGGTTTGTGGGTTCGAGCCCCGCATCCCCGTTTCGGGCTCCGTGCTGACAACTCAGAGCCTGGAGCCTGCTTCAGATTCTGTGACTCCCTCTCTGTGCCCCTCCCCTGCTCGCACTCTGTCTCTCATTCTCTCTCTCTCAAAAATAAATAAACATTAGGGGCGCCTGGGTGGCGCAGTCGGTTAAGCGTCCGACTTCCGCCAGGTCACGATCTCGCGGTCCGTGAGTTCGAGCCCCGCGTCGGGCTCTGGGCTGATGGCTCAGAGCCTGGAGCCTGCTTCCGATTCTGTGTCTCCCTCTCTCTCTGCCCCTCCCCCGTTCATGCTCTGTCTCTCTCTGTCCCCCCCAAAAACTAAATAAAACGTTGAAAAAAAAAAATTAAAAATAAATAAATAAATAAATAAATAAACATTAAAAAAAAAAAAGGAATCATTAGCTTTGTGATACAGAGGCAAAGATGGTTGGGGCAGTCAGGGTGTCCAAGGAAACAGGAACAGTGCCATTTGGAGGCCAGTCGGACAGGGTGGACATCCAGTACTCCTGCAATATGGTGGTGTTGGGGGTAAGAATGTTTACAAAGTTGAACTCGTAAATAGCTATTTCTGAACATGTTGATGTTGCGGAGGTAACTTCTCCACCACCGGTGTTCTGTTGGATTGGGATATTGAGTCTTTTCTTTTTGCCCTGGTACATCGGGCTGGTGGGAAGATGTGTTCCCTGCTCTAGGGACTAATACGGTTAAGCAATTTACAGACGAAGCACAGGCAGGTCTGTTCGGAGTCACCTCATGTGGCCGGGCGTGAGAGCTCTGGAAAGAACTCAATGAGAGCAGTCAGGGAAGGCCTCCTGGAAGAGGTGGCGCCTGTTCAGAAAGAAATGGGCAAGATGTTCTCGGAGGTGGTGACATGTGAGCGTGGCTTGTGTTCTTTGGGCAGTCTGACTGGTCTGTGACAGCGGAGTTGGTGATGGTGGGACTGGAGGTTTGAGGGCAGGGGATAGTGCAGACCAGCGGGGGCTTGGCTGGTCCACAGAAGGTTTTGCAGCAGCGAGTGACCAGATAATGGGGATGGTTTGAGTACTTAGGGTGTCAGTGAATGATGGGAGGGAGCAGAGGAATGTGAGTCCCGGGAGCCAGGGTCCTATCGAACAAGTCGCGGGGACACAGATAAATCCGTCACTCCTTCTGTGCCTCAGTTTACCTCATCTGTAAAATGAAAATCAGATTTCTTTACCCCTGGCTACTTCACAGATTCATTGTGAGTCTCAGCTTTAAGGATATAGGTAACAACGCTTAAACAACAACAACAAAAAAGTGAAGTGTTAATTCAAGACAGAAATCCAGGCTATGGTGTCAGGATCCCCTTCTCACTTCGGCTTTCTGTACCTGGGAGACCGTGAGAAGCGACAGAGAAATCTCCCTTGCTGCGGGTAAGTGACATCGGCCACGCAGCAGCGGGCCAAGGTGAGGGCGAAGCGAACTCGCCAGCACGCTGCCGACCTTTGCCATGTGATCCTCACTCAACCCCCTGAGGGAGGGAGACGTAGAGGACCCTCAGCCCGGGCTGCTGTCGCCAGCCGGGGTCACCGAGCTCAGCAGCGGCAGAGTGGGACGGATGAGACAGGGCGCGGAAAGGCTCTCCTGTGTCAGTCTGCAAGGGCTCTGCGGCCACAGAGAGCCACAGGCGTGGGGGGGGCTTACACAGCCTATTCACGTGCTCACGATTTCTGGAGCCTGGAAGTCCAAGATGACGGGGTCAGCAGGGGCGATTTCTCCTGAGGTCTCTCTCCTTGGCTTATGGATGGGCACTTCTTGCTGTGTCCTCACAGGGCCTTCCCTCTGTATGTGTCTATGTTCTGATCTCCCCTTCTTAGAAGGAGACCAGTCCCAATGGATTAAGGCCCACCCTAGTGACCTCATTTGTACCTTAACTCCCTCTTGAGAGGCACCCTCTCCAAATGCAATCCTGTTCTGAGGTGGCGGGAGTTAGGGCTTCGACATACGAATGGGCGGGAGGGGGACACAATTTGGCCTACAACGCTTGCGTTCGGAATTTCTAGAGTGTGCCCTTTTGGGGGCCCAGGGAGGGAGGGCCCGGCTCCTGGCGACTGCCATAGACTCAATGTGGGAGGGGGGCACCCTTGAGAGATGACAAGGAGAACAGACACCGATGAGTGAGGGGTTTAGGTGCCCGGCAAACTTGAATTAGATTCACACAAGTAAACTGCATAAACAAAAAACTCCCTGAATTTCAAAAAGGTTCAATGAACTTGCTTTATAAAAGATTTCCTAACAGGTTTCCTTTACATACTGAACCTCACTAGTGTACCTCAAACGTGATTTGAGGGGCGCCTGGGTGGCTCTGTCGGTTAAGCATCTGACTCTTGATCTCAGCTCAGGTCTTGATCTCAGGGTCATGAATTCAAGCCCCACATTGGGTTCCATGCTGGACGGGAAGCCTACTTAAAAAAAAAGTGATTTGATTTAACGCCATGTGATTAAGGTACTACGTTTTCAGAGCCTCGCCATTAAAAGCAGGAGGGACGGCCTATAATTAAGAATTCGCTGAACCTTCTTCTCCAAAGACCAGTTGAGCTCACAAGAGCTGACTACGAAAGCGGCCGAGGCACTCATGGGCCTCTGGGCCTGTCTGCTCTAGCTGAGTGTGTGCAGGGATCTGACTGGGCTTGGTGGGGGGGCACTCCCGACCACCTGGCCCCTGCCTGGGGCTGCGTCCTGCCTCCTGCTGTCCTAGGAGCCCGCCTCAGATCCGTGCCAGCAGCAACTCAACCTAGTCCTTCTAGACCTGTCGCTTGGGGGCAGGGATACTGACCCCCTATCACTTTAGAAGGCAGGGAGACAAACCAGGGAATCTGGAGTGTTGTCCAAACCTCATGTTAGCAATTTCAACCAAAACATTGGACTCCCCTCACCAGAAGCTGTAAACGCAGCCAAGGTGATTGACTAACTCCCAGTCCTTCCTGTAAGCGGAGCACATTGCCCCGCATGGGGTGGAGAGGGGAGGAAGCAGAGATCAGAACGAGGCCCCTTACCCCAGGGGGGGCCACTGTGGGGCTCAGAGGGGAGAGTGTGTGTGCCCAGGAAAGAGGGTGGGTGACCAATCCATTTGCAGGGAAGCACATCATGATTCTCAGAGCATAAAAGCCAGCAATTTCTGGAAAAGGAGAACACTTTTGCAATCTGAGGCAGAGGAGACTGGGGTTTAACAAAGCCGTTTGCCGGCTGGGTGTTAGATTCTGAGTCTGTCAAGGACAGACCTCATCAATATTAAGAACCTACCACCTACCGGGCATTGTGCTACGTCCTGAGCAGGCAGTCCTCCGGCCAGAGAGCCTTCACATGGGGTTGTAGAAGGTCCAGTACTTCGTCCCTGCCCTGAAGGGGTAGATGGACCGGGGGAGGAGACGGACACTGGCACACTGAGAAAGGAGAAGCCTGGGGCCTGCGGGTTTCTGGAGGGGTCCTGGTCCAGCTTGGGTAAGTCAGGGAAGGCTGTTTATGGAATGACTGAGTATCTTTTTTTATTAAGATTTTTTTTTTTAATGTTTGTTTATTTTTGAGAGAGGGAGGGAGGGAGGGAGAGAGAGAGAGAGAGAGAGAGAGAGAGAGAGAGAGAGAGAGAGAACGAATGTGAGTGGGGGAAGGGCAGAAAAAGACAGGGACACAGAATGCAAAACAGGCTCCAGCCTCTGAGCTGTCAGCTCAGAGCCCGACGCAGGGCTCAAACCCACGGACCATGAGATCATGACCTGAGTCAAAGTCAACCGACTGAGCCACCCAGGCACCCCAAGGACTGAGTATCTTGAGAGTTCAATCAAAGGGTGCAGGGGGAGGGGTCAGTCTGGCCAAGAGGTGGGGAGAGGAGTGCTTAAGGCAGACGGCACATGATGTGCAAAGGGCTGGTGGTGAGAACATGCATGTGGCTGGGTGTGAGTCAGGTATTTCTTGGGACACAGACTTCGGGGCCGGGGGGGGGGGGGGGGGGGGGGGCGGGAGGTGAGGAACAGGGCTGGAGAGATGAGCACGGGCCAGAGTGAAGGCCACACGGGTGGAGGTGAGTCAGCTGGACCTGTCCCAGGATCTTTGCAGATCCCCTGGGCCGGGGACCCCAGTTCTGGGCGGTCTGGAAGATTCATTCTTTGATTCTGCTGTGACGTTTAGATGGCCTCCTTGTCCTTTTCACCAGGATGCCTGGTTATTTTCTGAGCGGTGGCTGCCTCTACCCCTTCAGGCCAACGCAGAGCCTGGCAGCCTTCGTTGTTTAGGGTATATAAGCCAACTCAGGGGAACCCACCCATGTATATGGGTTCATGCCAGAGACCAGAAATAACCAGGGCTGTTTAAGATGGAGATTGCTTGTCTCTTGCATAAAAAGTAGGCTGGAGGGAGGCTGACCTGAGCTGGTATGCTGATTCCGTGGGATCTTGTCCGCTTCCACTCTCCTTTGCAGTCGGCCACTTTACTCAAGGTCACCTAATGGTCCAACGGGGTGGCTGGAGGACCAGCCACGTGGGCAGGAAGGAGGAGGAACTGGGATCAGTTTTCATTGGTCCACCTGTACCTGCAAGAGAGTCTGGGAAATGTGGTTTTGCAGCTGAGCCATTACCCAAGGTTCTGTCTGGAAGGAAGACCAGGCGAATGGATACGGAGTAGGCCACCAGCAGCCTCTGCCGTGGCCTCTTGTAAGAGTGAGTCGAGGGGGACCAGCAGCACCCTGAGAGCCTGGTTCCATATACCACCTCTTTCTCCGCAGCACTCAGCACCGCGCGGCCCATAAGAGATGCTGTTGAAGGAGAGATGAATTGAGGCAGTGACACAGGGGGATCCTCAATTCTGCATAGCCACCAGCAAGCCCAGGTGACCAAGCATGTTGTGTTTGGATGCATCTCAGAATATAAGCAGGACTGCATGGGCCAGGGGTCTAGTCCCACTTCTTATCTTTCTTATCTTCTTTGAGCCTCAGTTTCTCCCTCTTCAAAAAGGGAATAATCCTACCCATGCAGATTTGGGACAGGGGTGAAATGAGACTCTAGACTGTACAGAACTATATTCTTGTGAGTTCGTGGTGGAGATAGGTAGTTTGGGTAGCTTCTCAGACTCTCTTCTTCCCCTAGATAAAGTCTGGAAGATTAGATTACTATTCTGAGCTCAATTGTTTATACTGGCTTCTCTCATAGTCTCTGCTACTGGCCACAGGAATCATAATATCCCCTTGTGTTTCCAGGCATCTTTCTGCCGAGGAACTCAAAGCCTTAATTATCTCCGAACCATCTAATATTCCAAGGTACAGAAGGAGCAAGAATTATTATTTCCATCTGGAAAGTGGGCACGTAACTCATCCAAGTTCAGAGCTGCAACTAAAAACTGGTCTTTTGACTCCCAAGCCCAGAATTATTTCTCCCGTAAGAGTCTCTACAGACCTTTTGTTTTAAAGCAACAGATGCAACTCTACAAAATAATTCTTAGAGGCCCAGTGCACAAAACAGGGAACAGAATGCCACTGGCTGTCCTGTCCACAGGATACCTCCTTGGAAATTGCCCCCTACTGCCTCTGGAGGGGGAAGTAGGAGCCCCAGCCGTCCTCTTAGTTGGAGAGACAAGGAACTTGGTCAGCGTGTGACAGTGATAGGTGTCACCACACCCTGGCTTGGCCCCAGCCTGGGGTGGAGACCCTCATAGTCCAGCCCCGTCTCCCAACCCAGCCGAGACTCCCAGTCTGTGTCCCAAACGGGTTCTCAAGTGCTTTCATGCTTGAAAAAATTATAAATTGTGTTATAACCGCATAACTCCAACACAAGTAATTACAATTTGTTGTCCCTTTTCCTTTTATTTTGGAATGCTTTCTATTTTCTGCCACACTTTCCAACTTTTTAATGAATCCGCCCCTGTGTCCCCATCTGCCTTCTCTGTGGTCTACATTGTCTAATAGCAGTGTAATTTTTGATATTTCTCTTGAAGAGGCAATACATTTACAGAGTTCACGAATAAAGTCAAAACAGAAAGATACGCTCTAGAAGCAATCCAAATGTTTGTCGACCTATGAATGGGTAAATAAGGTGTGGTATATCCGTACAAGAGAATATTATTTGCCGTAAAAGGTGTGAAGTCCTAATACACGATACCATGTGGATAAACTTGAGAAACATCATGCTAAGCGAAAGAAGCCAGACAGGTTACGTGTTGTATGATTCCATTTGTATGAACTATCTAGAATAGGTAAATCCCTAGAGACAGAATGAAGGTAGGCGGTTAGCAAGGGCAAGAGATGGGGGGGGGGGGGGAAGAGGAAATCAGTGCCTCAGCGGGTAAGGGGTTTTGATGTGATAAAAATGCTTTGGAACAAGTAGAGGCGGTTACACAACATTGTGAAGGTACTATGTGAATTTCACCTCAATAATTAAAAAAAGATACGCTCTGAAGTACGGGAGTATCGTTTGCGCTCTGTCCCCATCCACCACACCCCCCTTCCTTCTTGTCCTACTCTCTCCTAGAAATAACCGTTTTTTAAAAAACACTACTGAAGGGGCGCCTGGGTGGCGCAGTCGGTTGAGCGTCCGACTTCAGCCATGTCACGATCTCGCGGTCCGGGGGTTCGAGCCCCGCGTCAGGCTCTGGGCTGATGGCTCAGAGCCTGGAGCCTGTTTCCGATTCTGTGTCTCCCTCTCTCTCTGCCCTTCCCCCGTTCATGCTCTGTCTCTCTCTGTCCCAAAAAATAAATAAACATTGAAAAAAAAAATTAAAAAAAAAAAAACACCACTGAAGATTTCAAACAGTTGTAAAAGTAGACAGACTATTCTAATGAGCCCCTGGGGACCCATCACCCAGCTTTCCCAGTTATCCTCTCGTGGCCAGGCTTGCTTCTTTTCTGCTGTTTGCTTGTCTACGTGTGGACTTTTTGACATGAATCCCAGACGCCATATTATTTCGCTTGTAAGTAAAGCAGAAAAATTAAAGATAAGAATGCTTCTTAAAAAGCATAATCACAGCAGGTGGCGCCTTTAATAATTTGTTTCTTCTTTCCTATTTCTTCATGTACTGCAAGGAATAAATTCTTATTTTGCCCTCTCTTACCTCAAAGGGGACATACTGAACATGCGATCCTGTATTTTGGTCTTTCCCCTATCAGAATATTCTGTAGATCTCGCCTACACCAGCACATAGCGGCCCTCTTTGCGTTTTTCCCAAGTGTGTGATAGTCTCTCATTTGGCCGCATTATAGTGTATTTGCCCATCCGCTATTTCTGGATGTGCGAGTGGTCTCCTGATAGTCTGAGCGGGACGCTGTGGACTGAGGGGTCAAAGGCAAATCATACTTGGCTCCTGGCCTCAAGGAGCCTGGCCTAGGCAGATTCTCCAGAGAAGCAGAACCAGTAAAGAAAGGGTCCTCCTGGGGCCCTCTGTTCTTTTTGTGACATCTCTTTGTGGTATTTCTAGATGGTATCTTTGTGTGGCATCTCTGTGCGGTTAGTTTGACTTCCTTCTAACATGGTGGTCTGAGCGCAGCTGGCCTCTTTCAAGATGGCTGGCTCCTCTCGGAACACAAAAACAAGCTGCCAGACCTCCTTCAGGCTCAAGTCTGGAACAGATAGAATGTCACGTTTGCTGCATTTCTGAACATCCAGTCGCACACTGGGAAGCGTGGATGATGTTCCATCCGCCTAGGGAATGTAGTGGGATGTCTGGATGCTCAGTATCATCAGACAGCGTGCTGGACTGTCTGAGGTTCAGCTCTGGGGGGTAACTCCCCATGAGACCTAGCCCAAGGCTCACTCCCCTCTCTGCATCTAAGATGGGGATGATAGAAATACCAGCCAGTCTCCTGCCTGCCTCACAGGGCTGCTGACAGGTCCAAATGAGATGAGACAGTAATAGCCAGGAAAGGTGTTGGGTTCGGCCGGGTTTTGGGGATCCTCCCTCCCTGGAGCTAACACCTTGAGATACAGCAAGTCCTGCGTCCACTGCCAGGATTCCTGGGGGCAAGGATCTGGGAGCACAGGCACCCATCGGGGTCGGTGGGTCGGGCTCGAGCCAATGGGGCGTGAGGGGCTGACTTTCGCATTGGGCGGGGGGCTTTATAGCTTTTAACTCTCGTATGCTCGTAGCAGTTTTGAAAGGTAAATGTCACTCTTGGAGCGCCTGGGTGGCTCAGTCGGTCACAAGTCGAAGCATCTGACTTCGGCTCAGGTCACGATCTTGCGGTTCGGGAGTTCGAGCCCCGCATCGGGCTCTGTGCTGACAGCTCAGAGCCTGGAGCCTGCTTCCGATTCTGTGTCCCCCTCTCTCTCTCTGCCCCTCACCCCGCTCATGCTCTGTCTCTCTCTCTCAAAAATAAACAAACATTAAACAAATTAAAAAAAAAAAGGTAAGTGTCACTCTTGCGTCTTTGACAGATGTCCCCATGGTGACACAGCTGAGTGGCAGAGCCAGAACTCCAGCTCGGGCCTGTCAGGCTCCCAACCTCGTGCCCTTTACCCACAGAGCTGGCGCTGGCTGGGGAGAGAGACTCTTGGCAAAATACCAGAATTTTCCTTACTGTGAACACTGTTGACTTTAATTAGATTAATTTTCACTTTTTTTTTTTTTTTTTTTTTTGCCTTAAGGGGGTTTAAAGACGATGCCGTGGGATTTTAGCAATGCACGGTGAGGAGAGCTGAGGCCTGGTGTGAGACCCTCCGAACTCGAGAATGAGTCAGAGGTGCATTTATGTATCTATGCGCCCCCCCCCGAGCAGCCCCCCTCGCCCCACGAGGTGGGAGGGATGGTCAGTGGAGACCCCGCCTCTCGGTCTAGCGCTGTCCTCCTGGGATGCTCTCCACTGCCCAGCCCAGGCACATCACAACTGCTGCCTGCTTGGCGTGCATTTTCATGAAAGCTGCTTTGTGCATGCATCCGCCCCCCGGGTTCTGGCCCCGGCTCCAAGCCCTGGTTATCTGGAATAAATAAACTGCAGCAACTATTCCTGCGGTCCTCTCCTTCTAAGGGAGACTGCCCAAGTAAGGGCGCTTGTCTGGACCAAGCCTTTCGTAAATGAGAGCGCTTTCCCAATTTCATCCCGAGAAGCCAACAGCAAACATTTGTGGAGGACCCAGGGCCTGCCAGGCGGGCCCCGAGCTGGAGAAACGTGCCTCGTAGAACAATTGGCCTCAGAGAGAGCTTGCCGGAGAACAATTGGGGCTTGTGGATGGTCTCTCGCTGACCTTGGGCAGCGGTGCCTGCATTATGCAAGACACCCAGGTGTGCCCGCTGGCCCTGGCTCGGGAGCAGGTGCGCCTGCCTTTGGGGAGCTGTGGCTGTGCGGTCACTTGCACCCTAGCTGCCCGGGGCAGCACTGACCTTCGGAAGGGCAGACATGTGGCCGTTGGGGCTTTGCCAGGTCAGCCGCCAGCCCAGGAGAGAGGCACTTAGCAGAGCATAGTGCTGTCTCTGCTCCTCCAGCCTGGCCATTTTTTTAAAATGTTTATTTATTTATTTTGAGACAGAGCGACTTCCTTTATTT